TCCTTGAGCACACTGCTTCACACTAGTGTTTATGTCCATAAGACACAGAGGACTACGGAATGATAGCAGGCCACAGATGCAGGGAGATCAAAGTAGTTGTCAGGAAACTACACTTATGTCATTTCTTTCTCACTGTTGAAAGAGCATGTATGGTTGAGGCAAAAGTACACAGGTCGAATCAAGAGAACTGATAAGCTGGAATGTTTTGTTGTGACAAGTCCGGGAATGTTCCATGTTGACGCGTGGGTCTGATTACTGGCTTCTACATTAACCACACGGAGAAATGACTATGTGAAAATGCAGCAACTGAGATGTACTTGAGAATTCAGCCTACATGATCCCTGGCAGAATTCCCTAGACCATAGCCTGTACTTTGTGGGCAACAATTAAGAAGTAATCTGCATGACCAAGATAAAATAAAATGTCTGGAACTTGCTTCACATACTTTGACAAGGGGGGGGAGGGGTAAAACAAAATTGGCAAGTGCTAATAATCGATAAAATTTGGTAACAAATACCAGGCAATGTATGAAATTATCCTACCTCTATATGTGCCTGGAAGTTTCCATTATAAAGTTGCTTTGTTTTGTTTTGTTTTGTTTTAAACCAGGGAAGGAGGAAGGAGTAATCTCACAAAAAGGTTTTCTAGAGTCCCAGCAATAACTCCAAGAGCTTGAAAATGTGCCGACATTTCCGTTTTAGGAAAGCAGCCTGGCCGGGAGTGCAGCTTGCGGGTAGAGCATGTGCTCAGGGTGCTGCAGGCCCTGGGTACAACCTCCAGCACCAACGCAAAAGCAGACTGAAGGACAGAGGGGACATGAGGAAGGGAAGGGGAGGGGAAACATATTTTTACAACTACATCAGTACCCTAAGAAAAAACAACACACATCCTTCCAAACTTCTTCCTGATCATATATGTACACATTTGTGTTGAAATACGGAAGACTTGGATTTTGTCCCTGGCTCCTGTCTCAGAGCTCATAATAACCTTGGCATTTCCTGAGTGATAAGGGTCTTCTGCAGATCCTAACCCCCTCTGGACCACAACTGAGTCTATGTTAATCAGGTGACATAAGCTGGGGCCCCAGTTAGCCCAGAATTAAGCAGGTCTCCTGAAAGACCAAGTTGAGAGGGTTAGCGAGCTGGACTCTTAGGTCCACCCCACCCACCAGTAAAGAGGTAGGGGAGCTGTAAAGATTAAGCTCATTAAAAACTTAACTCTTGCCAGTCCCAGGGATGCACAGTACTGTGGGAGGCTGAGGCAGGAGGATCACAAATTGGAGACTGGTCTGAGCTACATGAGTAAGACCCTACCTCAACCTCAACCCCCCAAAAAACCTTCTTGAACAAGAGGTTTGAGGAGCCAGGGATTTCGCTCAGTGGCACCAAGCCTGCCTCACAAGTGCAAGGTCCTGAGTTCAACTTAAGTATTTCCTGAGTTCTGTGAGCCATCTTAGCAAATTATCAAAACCAAGGAGTGGCCTCGAGGGAACCCTGATTTATAGCCAGTCAGTTTAAAGCATAGGTCACAACCTGGGACTTGAAGTAGGAGCAGTGCTGTGGGACTGAGCCCTTAGCCTGTGGGCTCTGTCACTAACTCCAGGAAGACAGCATCAGAATTGAATTCTAGGACACCCAGATGACATTTAGAAAGATGGAGGGGGAAGGGGAGGAGACCTCACACAAGTACTCTGCTGAGGGTAGAATTTTTAAAAATCAACTTGCTTTTTCCTTTGTAATGTTGTATTTTTTTTCTTTTTCTTTTTTGGTACCAGAGATCGAACTCAGGACCTTGCACTTGCGAGGCAGGAGGCAGCACCACTGAGCTAAATCCCAGGCCCTACTTTGTTGTATTTTCTAAACCAATACAGTGAGTTTATGCTCAGGAAAAATCAATGCTATGTGGTTTTGTTTTGTGCTGCCAGAGATTGAACCCAAGGCCTTCACACTGAGCTGCTTGCCCAGCCCTCTTTGTTTTTTGAGACAGGTTCTTACTACCTTGCTAAACTGCCTGGGCTGGGCTTAAAACTTGCAAACTTCCTGTCTCAGCCTCCCAGAGTGTTCGGAGCACTCTGCCTGGCTGGATGCTCTTCTTGGTCGACATCCTTGTGCTTGGGAAAGGAGCAGCTTCCGGTGATCAGGTCTCCAGGGCGGAAGCTCTGAGAGGGGCACAGAAGTCATTTCCCATTGGTTAAAGCTTTGAGAGTTACCAGAACCCTTGACAAAACTGTTTTCTTGCTTAAATTAGAGTTTATATATATTATTTGAAGTGAAAGAACGCTGGTAGTGTTGTGATACTGCTATAAAGAGGAATAGCTGTAATAACATTCATGTGCCAGGTACTCTTCTAAACTTTTTACATATATTTAGGTATTTAGTGTTTTAATATCATAAAAAAGGATATAATCACTGTGCTTTTCATTTAATTTGAGGACACATCTTTATTTATGCACAGGTTAAATTTGGACTTGCCAGTTTAAAAGATGTATTTTTTATTTAATTTAATTTATTTTTTTGGTACCAGGGATTGAACTCAGGACCTTGCACTTTCGAGGCAGGCTTGGTGCCACAGAGCTAAATCCCTGGCCCCAGGATTCATGTTTTTTTTCCATTCATTTTTTTGTTTGTTTTGTTTTTTTTGGTACCGGGGATTGAACTCGAAACCTTGCGCTTGCAAGGCAGGCGGTGGAACCGCTGAGCTAAATCCCTGGCCTGTTTCCATTCATTTTTGATTGTGTATTGCCAAATAAAGGAAACTGATTTCAAAACTTGGCAAATATAAAAAGAATCAAAGTTGGCCGATTTTCGTGAGTTTCTGTCTTTGGGCATTCATGGATGGGGACATCCACAGGACAGTGACAATCTGCTCTGCTAAGAAGGAAGAAGATTTTTAGATGTTAATTGATGCAGGATAATGGAATTTCCCAATCAATACCAAATACAGTTCATACTCGTGTTTAAAGATTTCTTGAGTCTGGATTTTTATTGCATCATATTTTCTGAAGCTATTATAAAAGGCATTCAAGTCCACTGCTCATAGATGAACTGTAAAAATGGTAAATCATAACCAAGGACAGTTTTGTAACTTTTGGAATCTTTTGTACTAGCTGCTTACTGCCCACAGCTTAGAACTGGGTGTGAAGCCTGTAGCCCCCACTACTAGAGAGGCTGAGGCAGGAGGATCATTAAGCCCAGGAGGAGTTTGAGGCTAGCCTGGGCAACATAACAAGACCTTGTCTAAAAAAATATATATATATATGGGAGGGGGATTTAGCTCAGTGGTTCTGCCGCCTGCCTCGCAAGCACAAGGACCAGAGTTCGATCCTCGGTACCAAAAGAAAAAAGAAAAATCACATATTATTTCAGACACATGTTCAATCAATACAATGATGTAATTATTAGTGTTTCTTTCTTTCTGAAATTAGTGCTGCTTCCTTTTTCATAAGGTTACTCTAGTCTGGTAACTTCCTGGGAAAATCACACTCTCTACTCTTTTTTGCTATACTGAAATAGTACTGAAATATTCTCCAGCTAAGTACAAAATAAAATCTCAGACTCAATCTAATACCATGCTAAGCTTGCAACCCGACAATGCACCTTTTTTATTTTGCTTTTCTATCTTTATATATTACTTATTTTTGAGACATGTTCTCACTAGGTAGTCCAGGCTGACCTTGAACTCACTATACAGCTCAGGCTGGCCTCAAACTCACCTTTATCCTCCTGCCTCAGCCTCCAAGTACTGGAATTACAGGCATGCACCACCATGCCCGGCTGACAACATATCGTTTAAACCAGCAGCAATCTCTCAAGAGAAAAATTATAGCAAGAAAAGCCACCCACTGACAAATGCCCAGGTGGAAGAAGGAAGTCACCTTAGTGAGCACGTTGTGCCCAAGACTATGCCCTTGCAGTTCTCAACAGCAAACTGTACTTGTGGTCTTTGGAGACTGGGTAACTGAAGCCAAAAGAGTGAAAATAATGTTCCAAGATCTTCTGCAAACTGGAATGTTAATAGCTGGAAAAACTAATTCCACACTAACTTTTATCCACTCAAAATGGATTCCAAAAATGGTTTTTTTCGGTACCAGAGATCGAACTCGGGTCCTGAACTCAGGTCCTTGTGCTTGCGGGGCAGGTGGCAGAACCACTGAGCTAAATCCCCGGCCCTCCAAAAATGTTTTTATCTTTGGGCTGGAATGTAAGCTCGGTCAAAGAGCATGCGCTTAACATATAGGAGACCCGAGCCAGGATTTAGCTCAGTGGTTCTGCCGACTGCCTCAAAAGCGCAAGGACCCGAGTTCGATTCCCTGTACCCAAAAAAAAAAACAAACACGTAGGAGACCCTGGGTTCAGTCCTCATTATAAAAAAAAAAAAAACAACAACAACCCTAAAAGTAGTCCGTTTTACGACAGGACACAACATACGAATTCAGTCCTGTTGAGTACCTGCTGCTAAGTCTGTCTTGCCACACTGTCAGTGGTTATCCTGCAAGGTCAGATAAGAAAGTTGAAAAGGAAAACACAAGTAAACATTTGCTAAACACAATGAAGAGCAACCCCGGTGAAGAAAGAACTACCAAACACAAGAAAGCAAGAAGCATGGAGATCAAATGAACACCCTCAGAAAGTTCAGGGAATCAGAAAATTATTACTATTGAACAAATAACCAGGTAGTTGAGGTTACAAGCCTCAGCTCCCGCAGTCAGAAAACATCCTAAATAGCTCAGCTGTCATGTTCCACCTTACTGGGAAATCACACAGCCCAACCCAGCTCTCCTGGACCGGGAAGAAACAAGTAAGGACTCAATGCAACAATGCTGGTTTGTGTCTCCCAGGACACCCTCCCACCATACTCATGAGACTAGAGGGACTCTTTTGTTGTTAACTTCACACAGAGGTAAACAGCATTCAAGTTTGGTTAACCCACAGAATTCACCAAGTAAGGACTGTCAGGCAACAATGGAACTGCCAGTTTCCTGGAAGACTTAGGAAACTCACCGAGGGCATGGCTACAACTCCGACAGGACTCAGTCAGGCTGACAATGATCTGCTGCAGATCGGCTCTGGGGGGCGTGGGAGAAGGGTTGGGGTTTTTCCAGCCATTACATTTACAGGACTCCTCAGCCTAAAAAAGGAATAAAGAGAGAAACAAAATTCTGTAACAAGCAGCCATTGACTGTTTGACAGGAGAACAATACACACTACTTATACGTCAGCTAATCCCCACCACGCACATCTCACTTCAACTTTGTGATTTTCTACATATGCAAAAGAAACAAAACCATCAGCTGTAAAGATTCCAGAACTATGAGGGCCGGGGATTTAGCGCAGTGGTTCCACCACTTACCTCGAAAGCAGAAGGTCCCGAGTTCGATCCCCAGTACCAAAAAAACAAAAAAAAGATTCCAGAACTGAGATAGTGATCACCTGGTCCCCAGTCCACCAACTAATCCTCAAAAGCTGGCCTCCCCGAGGTGGGCCAGTCTGAGCCCCTGTATCAGAGTACGCCCCTCCATTTCCTGTCTTCCTTCTGACTTTCCTATTAGAGTTCTCCTGTAGACAGAGAAGGAAATGGAAAGGAGAGGGGAAGGGGAGGGGAAGGGGAGGGGAAGGGGAGAGGGAGGGGAAGGGAAAGGAAACCAGAAAAGGAAGGACAGAGATGTAGCTCAGTGGTAGAGTACTCGCCTAGCATGCACAAGGCCCTGCATTCAATGCAATCCGGAGCAAAGGGCCAGGGTAGGGGCTACCATTGTCCCCAGAGGGTGTCCATGGAATGGTCAGTTCCAAGACAGTCCATCGCAAAAGCTTCCCAAAACAACGAGCCACACTCCTGAGGTCCCACAAACATAGCTGAGGCAAAAACAGCTAAAGTTGGGGCCGGGGATTTAGCTCAGTGGTTCCACTGCCTGCCTTGCAAGTGCAAAGACCTGAGTTCGATCCCTGGTACCAAAAAAAAAAAAAGTTAAAGTTGGGCTTGGCAGGCTCCAAGATTCCAGCTACAACTCTGCCCCAGGTACCAAACAGAAACACACAGGCCCAAGGAAGTTAGAATGTCAGGGAGATGCGATGAATGCACCAGCCAAAGCCACACCTGCAGGATCCTCCACCACGACTTTTGTGAACTGAACTCCCAGGTTCACTTCGAAGACAGCATCATGTATCTGGGGTTTCTACCTATGTGTCTTTCCCAGGTTTCCTGTACTAGAATACTCTATTATTTGCAGGTGTGGTGGTGCACACCTATAATCCCAGCACTGGGGAGGCTGAGGCAGGAGGACTTCTGTGAGTTCAAGGCCAGCCTGGGCTACATAGTGAGTTTAAGGCCAATCTGATTACATAGTGAGATCCTATCTCAAAAAAATAAAAAAAAGAAAGAAATCTTCCTTAAATTTGTCCACATACTCTTCCTACTTCCCCACCTTTGTAGACAAGAATGAATGCAGATTCACCTTTTTGCAGCAACCTGGGCTTGGAAAAGGTTACCATGTGCTCTATCGGTTGCCACACAGCACTGCATGGAATCCTAAGACTGTTGTGCTTGTACTGGAAGATCCCTGGTGCTTACAAGCCTTCTGCCCCTTCCCTACCATCCTTTATCTCTCCATCACTCTCACCGGGTGTTCAGGGCTTCCAATCTGCTATGGCTGGGAGACCAGATAACAGAGGATCACTGTAACACGTAACACACCAATTTTGCTAAAAGCCTTCATGTGCACTGCTCACTAAGGCAGCCACCAGCCACATTCAGCTGTTGAGCACCTGTAATGCAGCTAGTCCGAACTGAAATGCACTACAGATGCGCACTCCATACCAGATGCAGAAGACTAGTGCAAAAAGAAAATGTAAACTATCTATGGATGTATATATTGGTTACATGCAGTGGTACCTCAGTTCATGAACACTTTTGTTTGTGAACAGTAATTTGGTTTGCAAACAGAAGCATTTGGCAAAATTTTGTTTTTGTTTGCAAACTCGCCATCAGGTGACAAACACAACTAAGGCCATCTTTGCCAGAATTGTGGAACGAATTAAGTTCATAAACACTTTTGGTACTGTTCTAGACATATGGGCTTATATAAAAGATGTAAAAAATAATTTAAGTCAGGCCCAGTGACACATGCCTGTAATCCCAGCATTCTGGGAGGCTGAAGCAGGAAGACCACAAGTTCATGCTCATCCTGGGCAACTTCAAGACTTAGTAACACCCTATCTCAAAATTAAAAAGTAAAAAAAGCATATGGAAAGCCAGGCCTGGTGGTGCATGGCTTGAGGCCATCCTGGGCTACACAGTGAGCTCAAGGCCAGCACAAACTACATAGTGAGACCCTGTCTCAAAAAAAATAAAAATTGAAATTAAAAATAATAATAATAATAATAAAACCCAAAAAGGCATGCGGAAGTTGGGGGGCAGAGAAGTGATATAGCTCAGTGTAAAAGGTTCAGGGTTCAATACCCAGCACAGTACTAGGAAAAAAAATTAAAAATTAATTTTATGTTTCTTTTTAATGAAGTTTCCAAAACATCTAAAATTACACACATAGCACATTACACTTGATCTGCCCTGCTCTATAAAACACACACGTATCCTTTTTTTCCTTGGGCTCTGTGTTTGATCTTGGCTCTCAGAGGTTTTTGGTCTGTTTTAGTCTCCTACCCCTTCAGGTGGCTGCAGTTGGAAGTCTAATTTACAGAAAATTTCTACGTGGCTGCTGCCTTGATCTCATACATGAAATTTTCCAAGATGGAGACAGTTTCAGAAGTGTGTGTATTACAGGAGAATAGAAAAAGAAAAAATCAAATTATAGTATTGGCAAGGTAAGCAGGGCCAAGGTAAAAATAAAATACAAGAGCCAAGGTAGAAGAAAATCTGCTTTTGAACATGAATCCTTCTCTTCCAGTAGACCCTGTGAGCCCTATAAATCCAGCAAACCCAAGTCAACTGCTTCGTCCCTGTTGTCACAATGAGAATGGAGAAGGCAGGCCAGAAGGACCCTATTCCAGTGGTCCCCACAGCTCCAACCCCAGGGAGGAGCTCAAAGGGCCCTCTCTGGCATCAGGCGGGACCCAATTGTTAGCCCCACTAGTGGTTCTTACCAGGCTGAACTTGGCCCTGAAATTCCCTGCAATGAGCCATCCACTTCTACAGAGCACAAAGGTCTCTGAAACAATGCTCTTGGGGGACACTCTCTCGGAAGAACTTGTACTTGAGAAAGGAAAGGAGAGCAAAATATGCCGCTTCAGGGGCCAGCAAAGCTCTCTGCCTCCCTGCCACTTCCGTAAAAGCAGGCTATTGTCTGCATCTAAAATGTCCCCTAAAAGGTTCATAGATTTAAGGCTTGTTAATCTCCAGAGAGGGGAGGGCCTTTGGGAAGGTGACTGGCTCTTGAGGCTCAAACTTCATCGGCGGCTTAATCCATTGCTAGGTTCACAAATGGCGGCATTAGTGGGAGGTGATAGAAATTCTAGAAGCTGGGGCCTGATTAGAGGATGTAGGTCACTGGCAGTGAGCCCAGGATGGGTCTCCCCCTCCCCCTCTCCCCGATTCCCAGCCGCTATGGAAGAGCAGCTTCCCCCACACACTCCCATGACCAACATATTCAGCCTTTGCTCAGGTGCAAAAGCAAGAAAGCCATCTAACACTGGAATGAAACCTCTGAGACCATGACCCAAAATACATCCTTTCTCCTAGAAGTTGATTTTCTCAAGTATTTGGTCATAGCAACAGAAGTTGATTAACAGCAGGATACACGTTTGTAAGTTGTAATTTTCCCTACTCAATCAGGAAAGGAAGGAAGTTAATCACCAAAGACAACTGCAGACCCTTATCAACCCAGAAATGGAGCCAGAGAAATCTACATCACAAACCTTGGTAAAACTAGCTCTCTGCTATTAGTTCCCCTATACTAAATATTCCCTCCCACAAAGTGCTGCCCCTGGCAACTCAAAAGCTCTTTTCCTTGTCTTGTCCTATCTCTGAAACTGACTGTTCTTTGCCGAGGTGCTATATAAGCCCAAATTCTAATCACTCTTTCACAATTACTCATCCCTGAGTGCACTCACATTTATGCACAATGCGTATGGTAATAAGCTTCTTATACTTTTTCTCTTGTTAATCCGTCTTTTGTTAGTTTAATTTACAAAGCCTAAACCAATGAACCTAAATTGGTAGATGACTACTTGCAGGACTCTCTAAGCCTCCAGCTTTTCTGTGCAGTTGTCTGATCCAGCTGCCTTTTCCAAGAGTGAAAAATTACTGCAAAACAGTCCCCAAAGAGCAATTAAATACAGCAAGCCAAACCTAGCAAAATGAAAAAAAAAGACAATACATGCCTGTAGTTCCAGCAGTTGGAAGGCTGAGGCAGGAGGATCGCCATGAGTTGAGGTCAGCCTAGGCTACCAAGTGAGTTCAAGGTCACCCTGAACTACATAGTGAGACTCTGCCTCAAAAAACCAAAACAGAACAGAATAAAGCCAATAATCCTAGCACTGAGAGAAGATGAGGCGGGCGGATCACAAGTTCAAGTCCCACCTGAGCAACTCAGCAAGAGCCTGCCTCGAAAATAAAAAAGGCTGGTGATGTAGCTCAGTGGTAGAATACCCCAGGGTCCTATCGCCAATACCAGGAAAAAGCAAAAGAAAAGAAAAAAAAAGCCCAAAAACTTTGGGTTTAGAGAACTGCATTCCAAGTCAGAACCACCACACACACTGATTCACATAACACTATTTATTGAAAGCTTACTACATGCCATGTACTACTGCTATGTACAAAAGGAAACAAAGCTCCCTCTGTCCTGCAGCTTACATGGAGGTGGTAGGAGATGGGGCAAATGGCAGGCAACACAAATAAGTAAGTTGGGCCGGGGATTTAGCTCAGTGGTTTCGCCGGCTGCTGCGAAAGCACAAGGACCCGAGTTCAATTGCCAGTACCAAAAAAAAAAAAGAAAAACAAATAAGTAAGTTATATAGTATATTAGGGAACGAGGTGCTGTGAGAAGAAATCCAGAAGGACGAGTACAGAGGAGCTGACAATGGGTGGGATGTAGGTGTAATTTTCACCAAATCTTTTTTTTGAGACAGGGTCAGATTGGCCTTGAACTCTAAGCAGTCCTCCTGCCTCAACCTCCC